GTGCTCTTCCGATCTCCCCAAAACCCCAAAACCCCACCTATCAATATCTTCTATAGATAATTGATTTATTAATAATACATAAGTAAGAGGGTGTAGTAATATTATATTTCTTTAAAATTTAAAGTTTATGGAACCATACACATCAGATCTATCTCATTCAAGAATCAGATACGAACTAGACACTTCTCTAAAAGAGTAGGAGAGCTTTAAGACAATGTCTATCAATATTATTAAAGTAGCGTACCAACTATTTTGGCCCAGATTTTCGCACTACTTGTTGTTGCTATCAATACTGCATTCGTAGGTCATGCAGGAGACAATGCTAAATTAGCTGGAGTAGGTCTCTGAACGCTATTTGTCAATATTTTCCGTCATTAGGTTAAAAATGGAGCAGTATCAACATTAGTATCGCAGGTTTACGGTCTGTAATTTTAAATACTGCCGAATTTATCTAAATAGAGGTATAATTGTAGCGATAATTGCATTTATGCTTATAATTTTTGCTTTGCAACTTTGGTACTTTGTGAATAATTCATGTTAGCTATTGAAATGGATCCTCGAGCTTCTGAGTATGCAGAGTTCTATACCTATTTATTATACCAGCAATGATCTTTCCCTCATAATATTACTCTACAAGACAATATCTCAATGCTCTTATTTATTCAGTGGTTGTAATATCCATTATAATCATTACATCAGGACTTCATTTAGAATGGTGCTATCTACAAACTAGTGTTTGGTAGCATGACATTGTCGAAGTCTCAATCGCAATCTTATTACCTTCTTTCTTAATCACATTATTCTTATTATTTACTTCAAGAGCAATAAGAAAATCAGAAAAAGCTTCTACTTCCCAACAAAAGAATCTTTCAAAAAGCTAGGGGAATATCTTAAAATGGAGTTCCCTCAAGTTACATGCTTTGTCTTTAATTGTGGAGCTTTGAAGTTCTTGCTATTATGGCTGGCTATTGATGCAACTGGAGTTCATTTAATCATCATTAATACTCATGTAGAAATAATTACGGCACATCTTGGAGCTCAATTTGCAACTATTATTTGCTTTGGATAAGCAATGGGAGAATTAAATGCTAGCAATTCTGTAAGCTATTTTAGACTAATAGCTTTATACAGCTTAATGCTCGATATAACTTTGTTGACTGTGATCTTTATTGTTAGGGAATCGATTGCTAGAATATTTACGACATCAGAAAACTTGATACCACTGATAATTGATGGCTATAAAGTTTTGGTTCTTATATTATCTGCTTCATGGAATGGCAATGATTTAAGCTGAAGCAGAGAGGCCACTTGGAAATATTAATTTGGCTATATGGATGATCTTCTTCTCATTTTAAATTTTATTTTTGCTGGGTGCTTACATTTTTGCCTTAACACTAGATTGGGCGATGGTTGGGCTCTGGTGGGGTTGAGCAACACCTAGATCACTTATGCCAAAGTAGGGGCACCGAGTCTTTTATTGAAAGCGTCTGTCAATGGATTATGAACATAGTAATCGATACCAGTTCTTTATTAATTTTTTACTTGAAAATTATTAAATATAATATATTAATTTATTTAATTAAATTAGTAAAGTCATTAATTTTAGTGTTATGGGGTTTTGGGGTTTTGGGGTTTTGGGG